TGAAATGTTTCACTAAGAGGTCGAGATTGAGAAGGGAGAAAAGTACAGTCAAAGCTGGGGAAATGGCCTAGAAAAGTACTAAGAGGTGGAAGGATTGGAAGTCACACTTAAGATGAAGAATAAGTTTAAAAGTAGAAAGTGGTAGGGAAAGATGAAGTGATTTAAGATTATTATTGGGTAAAGGAATTGAGTAGTTCTTGAAAATGGAAGTAAAACACTTGTGGATAATGACAAGATTAAGGGTATGACCATGCCTATGTATAGCTTTGGTGAGGTAGAAGAATAGGTGATAGGGACTGAGTAGATTGAGGAGCTTGGAACTGAGGTATTTTAGGGAACATAAATACGTGTGTTGGGATCTCCTAGTATGAAGTCAGGAGTGAGATGGAGAGTGACCCTGTAAGTCAGGAACTGAATTCATTGAGAAAGGAAGGAGAACATACTGTGGCTTTGGTAGAAAAATAACCTCTAGCATCTCAATTAGGTGCTAAATTTGGTTTGAGTGAACCTGGAAAAGAGAAGGGGATGCTGAGTGACGTCTGGAAATGTCAGTGGGGAGCAAAGAGTATTAGAGCAGTGAGTATTATGGGCGTTATGGATGAGGCTGCATTTGATCTGGACTTCAGAGAAGGAAAAGGGAAAGAGGAAGAGGGAGGCCATTCTAGACAGTGGAAACATTGTGGGCAGTTTCCTGCAGAAGGCTCAAAGAATAGTCTATTTTGGCTGGAGTGTAGATCCCTAGGCAAGAAGTGATATGAAATAAACCAGGAAAGATTGGGTGGTGCCTGTCTGTGGAGGGAAATGCTGGCAGCAGATCCTCCTTAAGGGGTCTCTTTCTCCTCTCCCCCTCTCCATCTTTTGGCTCCATTCATTACTCTTTTTTCCTGTTGCTTCCCAGGGCACAGTGAGCACTACTTCTATCTCTTGAACACTTAATTACACCTTTCCCTGAAAACACTGGCAAATGTAAATTAGTTTTGTCTAACCAGAGGGCCCTGAGCTCCCCAAACAGACAGAACATTACACATTCAGCTGTTCCTGCTTGTCCCCCATGCCTCTCATGGTTCTATCTGCCTTTTCCTTCAGAGAACCGGGGACCTGGGTAGGGCCTCTTCTTGGGGATCAACTGTCAGATAGTTATCTTTGTAGTAGGGCATCCATTCTGCCATGCTAGGGATGAAACCTTCTCTTCCATTCCGCATCCTGCCTGTGGAAAAGAAGAGGAATCTCTCTCCACCCTCCCAGCTTCAGCTTGCACCCCTTGCTCTCTGGCCTCAGGCAAATGCTGCTGGAATCTGCAGTTTGACTAATGTAACAAGCACAAATTTATCAGGATAAGCTGGAGAGAGATTTGCATAATTTCTAATTTACACAGTGTTCCTGTTAGATCAATCCAAACCAAAAGAGAGAAGGGCTTTTGGAGATGAAAATAGAGATGTATAGATGGGGCCTCGTACCCCATCCCCTACATCCCTGCCCATCCCCCACATCAAACCCTTGGGTATAGATTGATAGGGATTGTGGTGGTGGGGTGGAGGGGGGAATTGAGAAGACTTGGGCTGAGTTCCCCTGTTAGAGATATTTAACTTGGGCAGGGAAGCTGGCAAATAGCAGAGTTCTATTTCCTGATTCAAAACCCAGGGTATTAGAATTCCTCTTCTCCCTACTTCTCCCACCATACACGTGAACAGAGAAATTTATCTGATCAGGAAGGTTACTTGAGGACTCTCCTCCCCACTCCAAGTGTCTTTAAGGATTAATTGAGGTGAGGGGCAGCAATTGGTAGGTGCTATTTGTTGGGCATTCCCCTACCCAATTTTTTGGAGGGGGAAATGTAGACACTGTTGGATCCTCTTGACTTTTACAAGATATGTAACTAAGAATCAAGACACAAAGTATCAAGGGCCCTATCCAGTATGTGTTTTTATCCAATTTAGAGCCTCCTTAGGGGCAATTTCTCAGTCTGCGTTAACTTCCTGTGAATCTAGATCCCTGGGCAGAGCTTCCAACAGGGTCTAGGGAAGCAACTTACTAGCTCTGAGCAGAGCAGATCATGGTGGCCAAGATGAGACACTGAGATCTTGGCGGCTGCCCTGGCGCTATAGCTACTTACCAGCTGTTTCTTCTTTACTCTTAGGACATTGTAATAAGCACTCTGTACCGGGCAACTCATCATTCACAAGTTCTAAAAGGAGACATGATTGTCTCATAAAACTAATGAGCCACATTGATTATCCTGGATAAGGACATGACCCCAAGCAGCCCAGGATGCTTTATTGCTTTTCTGGTCAAATCTATATTCACTGCACGGACTGGATGCTGATTTAGGAGCAGGGCAGAGTGAACCCAGAGACCTCTGGGTCTTTTTCCTAGTGGCCAAGGCCCCTTCTTCAAAGGGTGTCTCCATTTTCTCTTTCCTGCTGGCACAGGCTCTCCAGAGGCAATGGGCGCCCCTCTGACATGCTGGGCGAGGAACTGGCAAGCCTTCATTCATATGAGATACTGTGGAAGACAAAAGAAAGCTTTACTATGAAATTAAGGCAAAGTAATGCGTTAGACTGCCCAGCTATGAAGGCTTAGAGATCTTTTTCAGTTTAACTCTGTCTGACCTTACCTAGGTCTGGGTCTTGGCTAAGAGCCTAGTGTATTCTCTGGCTATTTCCTTAGGTGTAATAATAATGATAACTAGCATTTATATAAAGGCAGCTATGTGGCAAAAAAGCTGAAGTCAGGAAGACTCATCTTCCTGAGTTCAAATGTGGCCTCAGATACTTACTAGCTGTGTGACCCTGGGCAAGCCATTTATCCCTGTTTGCCACTGTTTCTTCATCTGTAAAATGAGCTGGAGAAGGAAATAGCAGACCACTCCAGTATCTCTGCCAACAAAACCCCAAGTGGGGTCATGCAGAGTTGGATACGACTGAAAAATGACTGAAAAACAGCATTTGCGTAGCACTCTGGTATTTGTAAAAGCACTTTGCACATCTTATTTCATTTGAATGTAAGAATTTTGTGAAGTAGGCTGTTTTTATCCCCACTTTACTGATGAAAAAACTGACGCTGAGAGAAGATAAGAGCTTTGCCCAAAATCACATAGCTAGTAAGAACTAAAGCAGTATTGGAACTCAGATCTTCCTGACTTCAGGTCCAGCACTCTACCCATAGCACTACCTAGATGTAGTTCAAGCCTCTCTCATCTCTAACTGGGTTTCAGTCAAATGTAGGCCCAGTCCATAAGGCTTTAAATGGTGATACTGAGCACCGTATATAGGCCAGAGTCAGAACCTCGTGTTGTTCTTTCCTCAAGACTCAGAAGTGACTTTCAGGAGCCTCCTCTCTGGCGCCTCCCGTGGTTCTGAGCTTTTTTGTCCATTTGGAAGAGCAGGAAAGATGGACACAGGATTGTTCCTTCTAGGGACCAACACTGGGCTACAATCTTAGACAAGACATCTGGATCTTAATGGATGGCACAAGAGGCTAGAGGCTAATCTGTCACAGACTGGGGTCCTTGAAGCAAAAGTGTCAAGAGTGACTCAAAGGCAAAATATTAACAAACAATCAGAGTGGATAACCAAGAGGGAAGCAAGTAACCTGACAAGCACTCTCTCCCACTGACTATGGGTAAGTCATCTAATCTCTTCAGGCCTTGGTTTTCTCCTTTTAAAAATGGGTTTACAATGATCCTTGCCTTTCCTGCCTCAGGGCTATCATTGCATTTCTAATGAACATTTCCTACCAATTTTGGCTCAGCTGTCCACTTTTGCATCTTCTCTGCCTTCCCTACATGATAAGCCTCTAGAATCTAGGCAAGTGGCACTTGGGATAGTTGATGGAGTAAAGAGTTGGTGTGTAGGAAAACATAGGTTGGAATCTAGCCTTTGATGTTTATTAACCAGTGATCCTGGGCAAGTCTCTCACTTTGTCCAATTAATTAAACCTTAATTTTTGTATCTATATAAGATGAAGACAACAATAAAATCTACTTCACAAAGTTGTTCAATAAATTAATCTGCCAGCCCACAAACATTTATTTTTCCCCAATGAAGTTTATTTTGTTAAATATTACCCAATTATGTGTAACATTTTTTTAAACACTTCATTTTTAAAAATTTTGAGTTCCAAATTTTCTCCCTCCTACCTACCCCTTTCCCCTCCTTAAGAAGATAAGCAATCTGATATCGATTATACACAACAAGCATTATTAAGTGGCCATTATGTGCCAAGGGGTGGGGATGCAAAGACAATGAATGAAATACTTCCTACTATCAAGGAGTTTACAGTCTAGCTGAGGGAGTCAATATATGCATGTATGTATGCATCTACATGTGTATATGTACATAAACATGAGTTGAGCCTTAAAAGAAATCAAAGGTCATAAGAGACAGGGATGAGGAGGGAATGCATTCCAGGGATGGGTGTCAGTCAGTGCAAAGATATAGAGGAAGGAGACAGAGGGCTATGTTTGAACGATACTAGGTAGCCCAGTTTGTCTGCACTGGCTAGTTTGTGGATGGGAGTAATATATAATAAAGCTTGAAAAAGTGCGTTGGGGCTAGGTTGGGAGAATCAAATGAGATGTGGCATGTAAAATCCCTAGTAAGACTTAAAGCATTATATAAATGTCAATATTATTACTCTTCATCTATAATATTCCAGTATTGCACACATCCAGCAATAACATAATCTGCATTGGTGGTAAGGCATTCCTTTCAACAAAGGAGTATGAGCTGTCTGAGCTCCTGAAAGTCCTGCCTGATGCTCTGGCAGTCTTGGGGCTGCCTTGGGAATGTTGTGCCATCTTCTCCCTCTCTTCTCCTCACTACTTTTTTCTGCTCAGTGCTAAACTTACCAATTCCAGCTCTAAATCCAGTGATCTTGGATTCCCTTTGTTATTCTTCTTCCGGCAACCTCCACCCCCAATTCAGGGATGCTGGGAATTAAGTAGACTTAGGATGCTGTTCAGCAAGATGCATAAGGCATAATTTGTTTGTTTAGTTCCTCATGGCTACTCATCTGTAAACAATCCAAAATGGAATGATGCAATAAGGATTGGCATGGTCTCTGCACAAGGATGACATGCAAAACCATGAAGCTTTCCATATAAAAACAGAGAAGCCAGTCACACAGTCAATAAACATTTATCAAGTGTTTGCTATGTGCCGGGCATAGGAAGTGAATCCTTGAGGACTAACCATAGGAAGTTCAATTTTGAACCCACATACAACTTCATATTTATCTCAATTAAATTTTGAGTTATTAGAATCTTCCCAGTGTTCAACCTGTACAATTCTTTGTGTCTATGAATAGTACAAGATAACCAGACAATCCATATAGAAAGGCACTCTCCCAATATCTATCTATGTCCATTTCCAATACTCTCAGCTTCCAACAGACACATCTGGTTCCTTTGTTGGACAGTTCCCAGAGAAGGCCACCCTGGACAGTTCCTTTCTCCTCTGCTCGTCAACATTTCCCTCCCAGCCTGACCTTGCTCTTTCTCCTTTCCCTTGAACTCCTTCATAGCTTAACCACCAAGTCTCCTTCGAAATCTCTCCACCTATTTCAAGGCCTGGGGAGAGAACAAGGGGGAAAAATATCTAAGCTTTTGGACCAGATTTTTGAGAGTCATCCTCCAAGCTGGTTAGTGAGAATATTTTCTACCTTCATCAGCCTGGTCATGACCAGTGTTATTTATTGTCAGATAAATATATATCCAAATAAAACAGAAAATGAACAAATAAACATGGTGACAGAGCTGTAAAAATCCTGCCCGCTCATTCACTTGAAGAAAAGCTTGTGCGACTAATTAACCCGGGCAGGCCTCCGTAGTGTTTAGAAACAAGCTCAGAATTAATATCACCCCTCTCAGCCAGTGGTGCCAGCCTTTAAATCTTTATCAGGCAGGAACAAGGGAGAGACAGACAGGGAAAGAGACAGTTATAGAGATAGAGAGAGGCAGAGACAGAGAAAGACAGAGAGACATAAATGTAAATATGTCTATATCTATATCCATTTAGGGAGATGACAATGTTTCTTTCTGAGAGTGAGAGGCAGAGGGCAAAATATAGAACTAGTCTTCCTGAACAAGCCCATTCTGTATCTGCAGCATTGAAATCAGAATGTCACAGACACTGAATTGTAAGGGGCTTTTGAGAGGTAATCTAGTTGTTCTTTTTTTTTTTTTTTCCTGTGCAAAGCTCAGTGACCCAAGGCTCTCCTCAGTCCTTCATAAAATTCAGTTTGATTTAACTTTGGGAGGATGATTCAGGTGGTGAGAATATGGTGGGAGCATGGGTAAGGGACCAGGGACATGACTTGGGAGAGGTGATCTAAAGGAAGTGGCTTCTCTTTTTCCTCTCCTTGTTGTAGCCTCTAGCCCATTATCCCTCCATCCTTTTCTACATCTTTTCAACCTCACAGAACTGTCTCAGCTGCTTTTGGTGACTTTGCTAGTAACAGGGAAGTTATTTATCAGGAACTGAGGGAGAATAATTCAGTGAACATTGTCCTTGGATTATCAGGACCAATTTCACAGAAACACCAAGCTTTGCCTCAAAGCTCCTGACTCTGCATGACTCCAGATTCATTTCAGGAAGAAAAAAAGATGTATGGATCAGGGACAGAGGAAGGACATCCTTCCCCTATCCTTACCAAGACAGAGGAGAGGGAAAGTAAGAGCTGATAACACTATGGCACTCCCATAGAAACCTTCCAGGCTTTGTCTTTCAAGGTATCTTATTATCTATGGTATGACATGCTTTTTGCACTTGTCTGGCAGGGAGGATTTGGGTCCCTGGAAAGCCTGCTTAGTGGCCTGTTATCATTGAGATCTGTTAGCATCTATTTTGGGAAGATGGTACTCTATGTTCTATATATTCTTCATATGTTCTATATGAAGATATGGAGAGGTCTTGGGTCTCTGTCTCAGCACTAAGAGCAGAAAATTCCCTAATGAAATTGGGTTGGGGGTGAGGTATGGAGCAGAAATGAGGCAGAGTGTCTGGCATCTTTATTCCTCCAATTAACCCCAAGAGCTCTCGGATTAGGCCCAGACAATAAAGGGGGGCACAGCAAGGAGGAGAAAACACAAATCAAGAAGTAGTTTTTTTTTTTTGAGGGAGAAATTGTAAATTGCAATTTAATCACATAATCACTTTGACACTCTCAAGCAAGCTAATTTCTTCCCTTGCCTCATTTCATCCACTTGGTGAGATGAATCTTAATGAATGATGTCCCATGAATATTTAATTTTTGATCAATTTGAATTTTCTCTTGTGTACCTGCTGGAGGCATATATCAACTCCCTTCTCAATAGCAGAGCAGACCTGGACTGGAGAATTCAGGTAGATCACTACTTCTGGCCTAAGAGCTGGTCTACCTGAAAAATGGGGTAGTGCTGGCTTGATATCATTAATGGGCCTCATAATAGCCTGCAGGTAGATGGATACTGCTGCCCATGGATACTACAATCCAATTGAAAAAGTATTTATTGACTGCCTATTATATTCCAAATACTGTGCTTGGCTGATTCTGGAAGTGGGGAACAACGTCCAGAATGGAACACAGAAGCAGACTCTGGATTATACTCCTGGTCCATCTAACTCTGGCCCTTTCCTTCAATAAAGGACCCTCTCCTAGAAGAATCCTCTCTCCTGTTTGGACATAGACCTATCCTATTCTTTTTCAGGATCGGTACTATCAAAATCTGCAGAGGGAGCACAGTGGCTAGGACTGACATAGGCTCCAAGGATGACCTCACAAGAGGCAGAAATGGGGAGGAATCACTCTTTGCTGCTCCATAATCTGGCTTCCCTCTATTGGAGTTTTGTGATGGACAATTTCTGTTTTTACATACATGGACAGCCAGTCCTCTCTTTCTGGGAAAACCATTAAAGGGAAAGGAGAAAGATTTTTAAAATTTTCATGTCCCCAAGTCCAGGAAAGACTCTCTTCCCTCAATCCTGTTACAGAAATTTTTGTTGTGGACCCTAGAGAAAATGGAAGGGCAGAGAATGGACTTTCACAGATATTATTTTACTATTACTATTATTATTATTTTATGACAGAAAGAGGAAAAGTATTCATTACTGACTGTGTGGGATTCATATATGGAGTGGTTACACCCAGGCACTAAATGACCTTTTGAGGTCCCTTTCTCCCAAAAGTGTGATGATTTGCCAGCACCAGCTGCTGCAGTGAGTAGCATTTTTATTTTCCCTCCAGGCATCCTCTGGAAATATCTTCAGCTTTATTTTCTTTAATTGATGAACTGTCATATTGGCAGCAATAGTGACTGCACTGAAAGTTTGATGTTCTAGAAACCAGGCCTTTTTCTTTTTCTTCTATGTTTTTTCCCTTGTGAGTCTGGGAAAGAGCTTGTCATCTTGGATAAGACTGTAACCAGGAGAGCTCTGGCATCAGAGACTGGAATTTATGGTCACTGCCCCCAGGCATGTCTGCATTAGGGAAGAGCTATGGCACTTTGGGTTTGGGGAAGGATCTCAACACTTGAATCCTGAGGTTGAGCCTTCTTGTGTTCTGCTCCTCCCACTTCACTTTTTCTTTCAGAAAATGAGCACAAACATTAATCTCCAGGGATAGAATCCTGTGATACTCCCCTAAACAAAGGGGTGGAATTAGACAAGATTATTTTCTCTCATCCCCTAGGTAAAAAAGCAATGGAACAATAGTTCCACTGCTATTGCTGAGTGCCCTGTGACTCCTTGCACTTTCTACAGTCTTTCTGTGGGCATTATGGACATATATAGAACATAAATATATAATATGCAGATATCCACATGAATAGCTCTCTCTCATCATCTTTCTATCTATCTATCTATCTATCTATCTATCTATCTATCTATCTATCTATCTATCTACCTACCTATCTATCTTCAGGTTGTTTCCCCAACAGAACATAAGCTCTTTGAGGGCAAGGGACTGTTTCATTTTTGTCTTTGTTATCCTTAGTGTTTAATTCAGTTTTGGGCTCAAGGAAGGTATTGAAAAAATGCTCGCAATGATTTATCTTAGAGGGCATCTAGTCCAGCGCTTGCCTGAAGCACAAACCTCTTTTTCATTATCCATTGTAAGTGGTCATCTAGGCTTTGCTTGAACATTTTCAATGACCTGAGCCCCTGAGGATTTATTTGGCTTTCTGTGTGGAGGTTGTCCCATCTTGAATGGAAGTATTTCTCTTTTGAGTATAAAGGAAGCAAGGACCCAAGGAGTTCTTGGCTTTAGTCTGAGTGTTTTCTGCAACAATTCTCCACAGAATTATAGAATCCTAAAGTTGGAGGGGGGCTTAGAAATCACTTAGCCCAACGTCCCGCCATATTGGAATTCCTTCTTTGACATACCTGACACATAGCCTTCAACTTCTACTTAAAGATCTCAAGGAATGAGAAACCATTTTCCCGTGGAGGCAGCCTATTCCCTTGATGCCCAAAGAGAATTTATTAGAATATTTTTTTCTTGAGTGAAATTTTCCTTCTCTGTAACTTTCATCTATTGCTTCTGTGTCTTTCTCATGGAATGGCCAAAGATGTCTATGCCTGCTTTCACATAGCAACCCTTTCATTTCCCACCAAGATGGTTATTGTGTCAAGACATCTCTTTTCTAATTCAATTCAATCATTATTAAGTACCAGCCATGTGCCAGGTACTGTGTGCTAGGTGCCTGTATACAAAGACAGAAATGAAAAAGGCCCTGCTCTCCAATAACTTATATTCTTTGGAGGAGAAATGACACTTTTGTAGAAAATTAAATACAGAATATAATCAAATAATTTTTTGGGTGGAAGTGGAAGGTAAAAATTTAATGTGAAGGAAAGTTACCAATATAATGGGGGCTCCAGAAGGCACAATAGAAAAGGCGAAGACCTGGGAAAGATGAGGTTGACATGGATGGATGTAACAGAGTGGGCTGTGGTGGCCAGGCTAGGAAACTCTATCCCAGGAAGGTTTCACTTCATTACAGGTATCCTGAGCAGAGTACAGGGCAACAGATTGTCATGCCCTTCAGAGAAACAATAATATAGGTGAGTTGATACTCAGTTCCTAAATGATTTGGCATTTGGGGGATGGTTATACATGCAGTGGCAGGA